CGTCTAAAAGCCAATCACTTGGAATCAGTTTGCCTAGAGGGCACTTTCAAGGATCTCTTCAATCCAAGATAGCTAAAACTTTATGAACATTAATCACGTCCCCAACATTTCTGAGCGGGAAAAGGGAATCAACTTTGAGTACAGTGAGAGTAACAAAGTCCAGCGGGTGCCATGAGGGACAAATGGACATTAAGGACAAAATGTAACAACTTTGATGAGTACCAGCACCAGAAAATACCCCATCAGTATTAATAAAGCTTCTGGATTTAAAGATGACTGTTTAGTTCACCAGCATGATCACAAGTAGATGGGACAGGAGACTGTAGCAAGTGCGTTAAAGACTTTCCGTGTGGCTTTATAGCAAAGGAGTCAAGGAGGTTTCTTAGGGAAAAATAGAGAAAAAACTTTCGGGCCGAGAACGAAGTGCAAATATCTTTTATCCATCTGCGAATACCATTGATTATACACAACACGCATGGCACTGTCAGGCTACAGAGAAGGCAAAGAGACCAGTTAGTGGCTTCGCATGGCTGCTGGCCTCTATTTTAGGAGGAGGCAGTAACTTCTGTTTTCTACTAAAACCACTACAAGGCTAAATGCCATAAAGTGCTGGAGGAATTCAGAAGAAAAGTTCAATTTTAGTTGGAATAATCAGGAAAGGTATGGTGGAAGATTTTAAGAAAGGATCTTGATAGGTAAAGATGCAATCCAGGCATTCCAGAAGGGTAGTGCTATGAACCTAGGCAGGCTTGAAAGAACAAAGTCCCCAGGGCAGTGAATAATCCACCTTCCATAAGGAAGTCTTGGAAAGGTAAAATGAGGCCAGACTTAAGAAACTGGAGACAGCCTAATAGCCTACCTACGGTGGTGCACTTTATCCATTAGCAATGGGGAGCCTACTGGGTTAAGGCTGCGCCCTTGTCTGAGTTTCCTTCCTAGTTGCAGGCAAAGTGTTTGCTTAAAATTTCTGTTTATCCCCTGGGGATCATGTAATTTCTTGGCCACTGAGCATGGAATGCTTTCAGATTCTACTCAGAAGTTAGGTATAGTTTTGTGGAGGTCTAACCCTAAGACGTTGCTCACAGGGAACAAGATTGATTCCCCAAGTATCAACCACTATAAGGTAACACAGAAGTTACTCCTGGGATAAAGAAACTTAGTGGCTGCAAGCTGGGAACTATTACCCTGACGCTGCAACCTGTTTGACACCACCCTGCCTAAGTTCCTAGTACTGTATGGATGCTACAAAACCTAAGGAACAACAGTTGCTCCATCACCGGTGACACAACCTCTATAAAGAGAGAAAAGCTGGAGACAGACCCCACGATCACTTCATTTCAGAAAAGAACCAGCCATTATAGCGTTTGCTTGAGTTAAGTCAGTGGCCTATATAGTCCCTGCTGTGTTTTCTAGCCTTTCTTCTACATACTGGGGGGAAACTGGTTAATCCAGCTAAGTACTTAGTAAGCCTCCTGTTGCTCCTCTGACACCTGAAACTATGTAAATGAAATTCGCCTTGTCAGTTTCCCTTTCGCCAATGTAGCACCAGAAACCGAGGAGAAACATACCTATTTTCTTCAAATTCGAAGGCTTGACCAAAAATCTCAAACATAGGATGGCATCAATGAGAGATTTCTGAGGGAATGAAATTTCGTTTTTCCCTAACGTACTTTAGATTTTGCTCACATTGCAGCTTTTGGGACTACCTTAAACAAAGGCAAATTGTCCACCAACGTCCCCTTCTCCCCCATCAAGGTGGGCGCACACTCACGGTCTAGGAACCTTGGAGCTCCTCAGGCCACCAAAGGCGGGTACTCCCCGCCGAGAGGCGGTTCCGCGACCCAGGCCTGCAGCCCCTCCGCGCTGGCCTCGCGCAGCGTTGGGACCAGGCTCAGCTCCGGCCTGGCGGGCCCGAGTCGGAGCCCAAATCCGGACGTCTCACCCCGACGACTGGGAGGCACGGCAGCCACCCCGGCTGTTGGCAGCGGGGGACGCGGCGCGCACGGGAGGGGCCACGAACGTGGACACCTGACGCGGAGTGGCCGGAGGCGCGGCCGGCTTCGGGCGGGGGTCTCGGGGCCCTCGGAGCCCTCGGGACGCCCGGGCAAGCCGGCTCCACGGCTGCCGCCTCAGGCCCACGCCGAGGCTCCCGGGGGGGCCTCGCGCTCCGGTCGACCCCCGCCCTCCCACCCGCTCGCCGCGGAGCCCCGGGAAACTTACGGCAGGCGGCGGACTCTGCTCGGGGCCGCGGACTCTGCTCAGGGCCGCGGACCCCGCGCTACATCCCGAGGCGCTGGAGACGGCCTGTGGCCGAGCGGCCCGAATCTTCTGCGCCCTCCCCGCGCCGGAAGGGGCGCGCAACCGCACGGCGTCACCTCCGTGGGAGCGTCACGTCCTCACGTGCGCTCCGCCCCCTTGGCCTCAGCGAGGCCCAATCACAGGCCGGCTTCTCAGCCCTGCCCCGAGCGGGACCCGCCCCTCCATCTGGCCCCGCTCCCTCCAGCCCGACAATCTTTCCTCAGTCCCAATCACAGGCCCGCTCCCTCGGCCCCGCCTCCCCATCGCGGGTCCCCGCCCCTCCTGACGGCCCCCGCCCCCTCCGCGGCTCGGCGGTGCCTCAAGTCCCAATCGCAGGTCCTCTCCCCTCGGCCCCGCCTCCTGCTCTCGGGCCCCGCCCCTCGCTCTGCTCCAATCATAAAACCCCCTCTCAAGGCCTTGCGGGGACCGCGCCCCCAAGTTGCAAACTAGGGCGCGTGATGGGGATGGAATTTCAGGGAATTAGACCGAACCCTGCGAAGGAATGCCGAATTTCCTACCCTGCACCTTGTCCTCTAGGATGGGCACTTCTTAATTTCTCTTTTTCAACCTCATGGCTCCTCCCTCCCTTCCGTAAATATTTACTGAGCGCCAGTCGTGTGCGAGGCACGAGGCAGGCAGGCTCCTGGTTAGAAACAGCGCGGCGGCGCTGGCTGGTCTTCCTGGGGACTCCCTGCTCCGCCCCGGGCTCCCGCTGCGGCCAGAGGGGGACCGCGGGGTGCTGCAGCCCTCGCCTGGGCGACTGACACTTCTCACTTCTCCCAAGGCTGGTACGTGACCAGTCTATTCTAGATGCAGAGAGAAGGTACTTTAGTATGATCCTGTATGGATGCTTCAGGGCAGTGGGATTAATTCTGGTGCTGGTTAAAAGCGTAGCAGGCTCTGGAGTCACACAGACCCAGGCGTCTGTCCCTGGCCAGACTCTCACCTTGAGCACGTTACCGAACGCTCCACATCATAAGTACCTCGTCTGAAAAACAGAAATAAAATAGTGCTGTTTCACGGGCTCTTTGTCAGGATTGAGATAATTTATGCAGGCTCTTAGTTTGATGCTTGGCAAATCGTAAATGCTTCACAAACCTTAGCTATTATGTGCTGCCCGCTGTATAAAACCCTCAGAAACGTGTGCTGTCCACAGGACTGAGTGTTCTCAGCATGGCGTTACCAGGCTCTTACCTGCTCCCAGGCCTCGTCTTCCTCCACTTTCCCTCTGGCATTTGGGCCTCAATGAACTTGCCTGGTTCTCCAAATGTGAACTTCTCTTCTGCTTCTCAGGCTTTTGCACATGCTGGTCTTTCTGTTGGATTGCTCATGCCCCCATTCTCTGCCAAAGGATCCAAGCAACTTACAATTCCCAGTTCTAGGTTTGGCTTTGGATTGAGACAATCCTAGCTTCATATTCAGGCTCTGCCAGCCACTGACCAGCTGTATGACCTTCTGCATATCCTTAATCTCAGACTCACAGGATTATAATAAGGATTCAATTACATAATGATCATTTAGCACAGCGCCTGCTACGAGGCTGTTAACTAAAAAACTTTTTTTCTTCTCTTCCTCGTTCTCAGAATCTTTTCCAAACCCTTCCCATCTGCACCTTGTATCTCTTCTATAGTATTAACCACACTGTGTTGTAATTATTTATCGCTGTCTTACTCCAGACGATGAGTTGTTTGGGGTCTAAGAACAGTCTTGGTCATGGTTGAATCCTCAGGACCTAGCACAGTGCTTGGCATGTGTCAGGTCCTTAATGTTTGTATATTGAGTGGATAAGGCAGGAACCCGTGCGAGACAAGGAATGAGCTTCTGTGTAGGAAATTCTCTTTGCTGGGCTGCTTCACTGTGTGAGCCCAACAACCCTAGGCAAGATTTTCCTTTTTGGAGGTGAGGTAGCCGAGTGTGTCTCACAAAGCCCAGTACACACACACACCAGCTGATCCAGACATGTCTGATGGAATACCAGTAACACAATTTAGTGACGGTTCTACCCTGGGGAGCATCCACAAGCCTTTCTTCCAGGGGCCCCAGGGGAAGCAGTATACAGTTCCATGCAGAAAAACAATGCCGACCTTCCTCCTGACCTGATGCATTGTTCTGTTCCAGTGTGACTAAAAGAAGATCTGAAGAGGTGGCCCTGGTGTGACGCTGGGAGGGAGTGGACTGGGCCAGGCTGTTGGAGCAGGAGAAGGGCGGTCAGGACAGATGTACCTGGGGGCCAACTCTGTCCAGGCACCAACCAGTCTGGCTAGGGCTGGTGGTGTCAGGTTACTTTTTAAAGGACAAGGCTTCTCTTCCAAATAGAAAGACAATACTTTGACTTATTTGCCAGGTACCCTGAAGGATAAATGCAGTGAAGAAAGGGCCAAGAGAAGGAAGGAGGGAAGGAGTGGCCAAACCAAGGACCACTGTGAGGGGTACCTGGGATCCAAAAGCTTCCCTCTCACTTGTATTCTCCTTCCTCCACCTTAAAAGTCCTCCAGGGAGAAGCTGAGCTTCTGGCTCTGCAGAGACAGCTGCTAAGATGAGGGTGGAGTTTGGCGGCAGCTCACATTTCAGCACAGGGTACAACCGCTCAAAGGTTCTTTGGAAGACCCGGGGGAAATTCTGTGCTGGGAAACCCTTCCTCCCAAGATTCTCAGGCATGAAAAGCCTTGGAAAAAAGGACCCCAGACACAACCACCGCTTTGGTAGAACACAAGGGCCTTAGCCCCATTTATTTGCATAAGCCAGAGGTTTCTGCCACAGTAACAGTCTTAGATCGTGGGGAGCCCTTTCCCTCCAGCCTCGGCAGGGGCAGAGGGAGACAGACACACAAACACGTCTTTCAGATCCCTTTCTCTGAGGTCTGAAGAGACCATCTCCTCCTCTCCTGTTGCCTCTAACAGATTAGCTTTCTAAGTCTGCACCCCCCCACCGCACACAGAGTCTGCTATGGGTTAAGCACCAAATGTTAAATCAAACCCATTAAACAGGTTGCTCTTTAACCACAGACACAAAGAAGAGTGTGATGCCACGAAGGAACTGGCCAGTCTTGGAACAAATGTACATGCTCCCTTCTTTCTGACCCGTGGAAGAGTCTGCTCCTTGAGCCTGACCTGGATGTTTCATCACAGGGAGACTGGGGAGCCTTCCAGGGGATGACTCGGCTTTGGCCCTCTTCCACGGCTCTAAGGATGTTGTTCCTGCAGGGACCATCCAGATTCCAGCTCCGGAGAAAGACAAAAAGGCTGACACTGTCGGGAAGGGCATCTAGGGCTTATAGCATTTGAGGGCTGACTGGGGGCAAGTGCCGTTAGCGGGACCAGGGAAGTGAGGGGATGCTCAGTAGGTAAATCGCATCCTTTGCGAGTAGCCCAGTTTGTCCAAGTTGGGATGGCAGGCCAGCTGCACCATCGGGGGTGGCCCACAGAGCAGCAGCAGCACATCCTCCCCTGGGGCGGGCAGGTGCTCCTGGATCATGTCGGCAGACACAAAGCCCTTGCTGTAGGCCCAATCTGCATGGGGAGAGGAGAGAATGACACTCCAGATCCATGCTGGCAGTGGCGTGCAGTGCGGGGCCGGGGTGGGGTGGTGGCAGTCCAGAAAGGCTCCTGAGAGGGTACAGAGCTGTAGCGGCAGGTGGACGGGTCTACTCAGCCTGCTTCAGCGGCACGGCCAGCCCTGCACCCACCCGGTAAACAGGAACCGCGGGGAAGAGTCCAGGAGACCACTGTGTCCATGAGCTCAGAGTTTGGCAGTGTCGGGCAGGGTCGGTTTCACTGAAACCAGAAACCACAGATGGGCGAGGCCCTGATTTGGGGATGTCCAGAAATGGGGAGGGTACCTTCTGGGGGGTGATCCAGAGTGAACCAGAGCGTAAAGTGGTCGGGGTGTCGGGCCTGCAGCTCCTCTAAGTCCTCCCGTAAGATTATGTCCTTTTCAGTCTGAAATGAAGAGGAGAAGCAAAGTCTTTAGGAACCTTCTCAGGTTCCTAAGCACAACAACATAAAGTTCTCTGCTGTAACAACTTTCCAACCAGGAAAGAAAAAGAAAACTGAAGTTCTAGGGAATAAGCAAGGGTTTTAGGGAGTTAGGATGAGGGGAGGCAGAGTGGAACAGCCTTTATTTACACAGTATGAAGGAATAAAGACAGAATATTTAACAAAGGAGACTCAAGGAGCAAGTTTCTATACTCAGGACTAGACTCCTTAAATGTTTTCTTTTTTTCTTTCCTTGCGGGCCAGGGAGGGAATGTGGCTCAGTGCTCTGTCCTCCTTATTGTGGAAGAGGACCCTCTACCCGCAGGGAGGCCTTGGCCAGAGGCTGAGCCAGGCACTGGGCTAGTTTTGCCCGTTGGTACCATACCTCTCCCCACACAGTAACTCTGAAGTCCCAGGACTGAGAAAAGCAACGCAACCTGGTTGGCAAAAAGCAGAAAGCACTGGGTTGGATCTTCTGGGTCTTTCAGGATGGCCTGGATCAGCTGCAGCATTGGGGTGATTCCTGCACACAGATGCCCCACGGTGAGATGCGGTGGCCACCCTCCCCATCCCTGCTCCTTAGCTGCCCAGCCCTTTCCTCCTAATTCTACTCACTCACCCCTTCACTCTGTTTTCCTTTGTATCCTAATTCTCTACACTCCCCCTGTGTCTTCACAGCACCTACATTTCTAGACAGATAGGCCCTGAACCCCAAACTCACTAAAATTCATATCTGGTAGGTGAATTGTGGTCACGCGCTCAAAATTCACATAAATTCATATTGCTGAAATCCTTCTAAGGAACCAATCCAAGACTCTCTGGAAGTCCCTTGGAGGCTAAGGCTCCAGTATCACAGATGACTGCAAGTACCTACTGATGCAATGCTGAGATGCCTGGAGCCCTGGACATGCAGGTTAAGTGCACGTGCTTTGGAACTGAGCAGAGCTACACACTAACCCTGCCTCTACCCATGTGGAAACGATTCAACCTCTCTGAACCTCTGTGTTCCCATCCGTAAAATGGGAAGGCTTGTACCTATGTCATAGACACATAAAGAGTCCAGCAGAGTGTCTAACACAGGGAAATGTCCAATGTTAATTTTCTATCTTCTCCACTGTCCTATTCTTAGCTGCTTCTCTGTTCTCACCTAAAATTTATTAGATTCATTCCATCTGAGGTCTCGGGAGAGCCCACATGATTTGTTTCTCTCATTCTGTCAGTTAAAATAGATTTTGGAGGGTTTCTACCTGATTATGATTTTGTTTTGCAGCAACTGGGGAGCTCTAGGCATTGCTGGGGATGCCCTGATTAAATTTGGCCATGATTACCAAACCTTCTGAGCGTCACCTGGAAGCTGCCACGGCAACAGTCACAATGGTGGGAGGGAGCAGGGGACAAGAACCTGTGCCACCGGCAATCATTCCCAGTTTCCTGGCCACTCGCGGTTCTGGTAGAGACTTCTTGTTGGGCTGAATGCTAAACATCCCTGAGAAGTCGAGTGGAGAGAGGGGTGAAAGAACAGTCAATTCAGGGAACTAAGTAAACAAATGCAAAATCGAAAACACGTCCCAGGCCAGTTCTGCAGCTGCTGTGGAATCTGATCCTGGAGCTTAGGTGTTGAGCCAGCCCTGACAACAAGACACTTCAGGGGCAATGGGGCCAGGACTGTCTGTCCCATATTGTGAGCTACGAGTCAGTTTAGGAACACACAGTGAGTCACAAGCTGACTCCCACAGAGGGTCACTCCCTGCTCAGGGCGACAGGCATGAGGCCAGGTGTGAATCTATTTTCCCAAGTGGCACAGAGCAGCTCCCAGGCTTGCTAATGCACCCAGCTGTTCCCACTGGAAGGGCTGAACGTAATCTCTGGCCCTCTGCATAGCTCGGCCTGAGGGGCGGCTCTCTGAGGGAGAGAAAGAGAGGCCCGCGTTTGCATTAGTCATCTCCAGGGCTGTCACAGTGGGTGAATTCATGTGGATGGAGAACGGATCCCTGTGTCAAGAGGGGCTGAGGAACACGCCTTTCTATAACGTCAGGGCTGTGTTTACAGGAGGGGCAGCTGGCCCTTACCCATGTGCACACACACACATGGACACACAGAACCACACCGTGTGGAGAGGACGCCGGGCACCAGAGACGTGGGAGCTAGGCCATTACCTTTCCCAGCGTAAGTGAGCAACCCACTTGGCCCCCGAAACTCCACCACGTCCCCAGCCTTCAGGCTATCCAGGTACTGAGACATCTTTCCCCCCTCAGGAAATTTGGGGTGCACACCCTTCAGGTAGACCTGATAAGACAGAATGGAAAGTGCTTTGTTTGGAATGTCCCTGGTTTCTGAGCCCCCTGTTGACTGAACCTGCCTGAAGCAGGGCAGGGATGACACACATGCTCTCTCTTCCCATTCCACATACTTTCTTCATGTCCACAAAAGACACGCATCTCCTCCTATCAGACACATCTTGGAAGTTTCTACAGATCCCAGAGGGAGGAGGATAAGGGGCTCCTGGGGCTCCTTCCAACCTTCTTACCTTGATGACAAGATCCACATAGCCTTGGTCCTCATCGCTGGTGACGGGAGTGTACGGCCTGATGACCAGGCTGCCATCGATCCGGGCAGAGAGGTAGACATGTTTGCCTGGGGACCACGTGCAGAGCTACATAAGGGCTCCTGTGGAGGTGCTGCATTCCTGTTACCTTTCAAAATAATCTGGGAGGTTTGAGAGGACAGAAGCGTCTTGCTCCGTGCTGGGGTCCCAGCGAGCAACCAAGCAGGAAGGATTCACCCCTTTGAGCCCCCAGCTGGATCTCTCATAAACTCCCCTCTGCTGAGATTCTTATCAATGACTGCCCAGGACCTTAGCAGTGAGTTGAGGGTCTGGGCAATGGGGAAAAGATTAGTGCTTGCTCAGCGGGGATATAAGCAAATCCTGCAGGAAGGAGGGAGGACTGCTGAGAGTTGAAGATGTCTGGGGGCACAGAAGCCACACCCTAGAGTGGCCCAGGGCACCTCACAGCCTGGAGGATATGCAGCCTGGTGGGGAAAGGGTGATGGGGTGGGGAGGCACAAGACTGAAGCAGCGCGTTTCAGGAGACCCCAGAAGGGGGCTCACCCTATTAGAATACCAGGGAAAGGAGCCCGCGCCGCAGTTCTTACCCACAGGCAGCCCCAGAACGTGGTGGGCGGTGGGCAGGGCAAAGCGGAACCTCTTGGTATTGTGGTTCACGGTCTGGAGGATGGATGACAAGCGTCTCACCAGGCAGGTCTGGTGTCGCCAACTCCCTGGGGCATCCCAACCACAGCCGAGCGGAACTCCGGTCCCCTCCGCTACTCCACAACTCACTGTCTTGTCTAGCAGTCGCAGCAGGTACTTCTCATTGGGGTCCAGGAGCGTGATCCGCGGCCGGCGGGACCTCCGCACCAGGTAGGAGCCCAGAGCCAGGCCGAGCAGAGTCAGCAGCCCCACCCCCAGGGAGGCCAGCAGGACTGGGCTCTGCGGGCAGAGGGGGCAGCGTGACCGTCGCGCCGGGGAAGAGCCCAGGGCGTGGGCGGTGACGGGCCCCTACGACCTGCCCCCCGGGTGGCGACCCCGAACTCCAGCGCAGGAGCAAGCCGAGCTCAGGGGGCAGCCTGGGTGGGGTCCCCAGCGCGAGCGTGCGGTACCGAGACCCCGGCATCCGGGGCGGGGTCGGCGGTGAGAGCCCCTGGTCCGGACCTGAGTGCCGGGAACCAGAAGGGGCGGAGATCCCTGGTACGGGATACGGAGCGAGGGTCTCACCGGCTGCAACCCCATCTTCTAGAGCCGCGTCCTCCACCTCGCAGCCAGCGCCCAGATCCCACAATGCGCCGCGGGGCGGGCAGGAGGCGGGGCATGGAGGGGCGGGGCGGGGCGGGGCGGGGCCGGTGGGGGCGGAGTCACTCCGCGCCCCACCTCTTTCCTCCGGACTCGGCTCCCAGGTACTCCTACAAGGAGGGGCTGCACCTCCAGACCCTCCTCCCCAGCCTTCTGTTCCTGCTACTAAGACCACTTGGCGTCGAACAGGGAGGGAGTCCTGTCAAACGTAGAACCACACCAAGCTGGAACTGGAAATCTCCAAGTCTGCAAATTGCTTAGCAGGGAGGAATCTGGCGTTCAGAGAGAGACAGGCTCAAAGTAGAGCAGGAGGGCCTGAAACTGATCATTGTGTTGTCACGTTAGTTCTTCAAAGGGGAGACTTTCAACCAGAGGATTCACAGGCTGGCCAAGTCTCCTCGGGAATGACAGTGGCATCTTCATTTCCTGCTTCCGTGACTGGTTTTGCTCACATGGCCAGGCCCTCATGCCATCAGGCTCATTCAGGAGCTCCTTTTGGGTCCCGATCAAGCTTCTCATCTGGATCTGGGTTCTCCAGCCCCCGGGGCCAAAGACCTGGCTTTGGGGGCAGACTGGACTGAATCAGAGCCTGGACGACTTCCTCAACTTCTTTCTGATTCCTGTCTACAGATAGATAAGTGCTATGAGACATGTAATGTGCTTAACATGTGGCCTGTCATAGAACAAAACACTCAACAGATACCAGCTGCTACAATGACTCTCTGCAGACAGTGACGATGCCCGGCTAGAGATTCGAGCTGAGCCCTGCTGGCAGCAGAGGCGGGGGACAGGAGGAGACGGTAACAGGTGCTGAGGGCCAGGAGCCACACACCGGCCGAGATGCCCATTCCCTCTCATACCCAGTTCCCAGCCTGGTTGACGTTTGCTCTTTTTTTTTTTGCGGTACGCGGGCCCTTCACTGGTGTGGCCTCTCCCGTTGCGGAGCACAGGCTCCGGAAGCGCAGGCTCAGCGGCCATGGCTCACGGGCCCAGCCGCTCCGCGACATGTGGGATCTTCCCGGACCGGGGCACGAACCTGTGTCTCCTGCATCGGCAGGCGGACTCTCTACCACTGCGCCACCAGGGAAACCCTGACGTTTGCTCTTGATTTCTCCTGAGGCCTCTCTCCCTAGCCTGTAGATGCCCGTCTTCTTCTCACTGTGCGTTCACATGGTCTTCGCTCTGTGTGTGTCTGAGTTGGCAACCTTTGGGTCAGATGGTAAATATTTTGGTGGCATACGGCCTGTGTAACAATTATTCTGCTTTGCTGTTGTAGCATGAAAGCAGCCACAGATAATACGTAAATGGATAAAAGTTACTACGTTCTAATAAAATTTTACTTACAAAAACAGGTAGTAGATCCTCATCCAGGATTGCCAAAATCCCTCAAATAAGCTGATACGCAACCCCTTACAGACCCACAGAAAAGTACTCAGAGACTGTTCTGGGAGGCCGTCCAGACTCTCCAGTCTGGATTTGGACACAGAGAGACACCCCCAAGTGACCCAAAGGACACTGCTTAGGTGACGAGCACTGACCTCCAGCCTACCCAACAGAGAAGTCACCTGATTCCTGCCCAGGCCTGCACGTGGCCCCATCCGCCACCATCCAGCCATGTTCCAGGCCAGCTCAGAATGGTCTTCACCAGACTGGACAATACGTGATGAAGCTCCAGGCTCAGAAGAGCCCCCTAATTCCAGCCTCCTGAGACAACCACCCTTCTCAGTCATGTATACGTCTAAGAAAGATAAAAATTCCCATGTTCCATGCATTTTGTGTTGACCAGTAAAATGAAAGCAAAGTCTTAGGGTGAGGTTTCCGTTTAAAAATTCCAAAAAGAGCTTTTTCAGCTGACAAAAACCTTTTTTGCATTGGCCTGGTAACTCTTCTTCACCTTGTTATTTTGCTATGGCTCTCAATCAGACGCTATGTATATATTTGTTCAGCTGTTCTAGTTGTCTTCACTGAGAAGTCTCAAATTACCTAGATTGCTATTATAAAAAAACTTTTATGTACGACTTGAAGAGATCTTCAAGACACAACCATTAAATGAAAACACTCAGGTTTCAATACAGTAGATTCACTACCAAATTATTAATTAATGCAAAAAAAATCTACACATTTCTGTTCAGTGTAATTACAAATAAAGAAACTACAGAAGATTCTGTTACTGGTGGTTTGTCTGATTATGAGCCCTGTAAAAACTCTCCTGATTAAAACAACTATATATGTGACTCTGAAGGACATTGATTGTCTCTGTGTCCCATTGATTTTTCTCTTAGGTGACTTTCTTCTCGGCTTCTCCTTTGAGCAAAGTGACTGTAGGGAGAAACTTCCACAGTAGGTAAGACTTGGGTTTTGGCCTCAAATAATGTGGAGGTGACTCTTAGTTTTGCCTCTTTTAGGAATTTATATAAATGGGATCGTACAGTACGTGGTCTTTTGTATCTAGCTTGTTTTTTGCGTTATGTTTGTGAGATTTATCCGTATTGTTGTGAGAGTAATTTATTCATTTTCATTGCTGAGTGCTGTTCCGTTGTATGATTAGATCAAATTTATTTACCCGGTCTACTACTGACGTTCGTTTGGGTTGCCTCCAATTTGTGACCATTACAAATAATGCTCCTGTATACACTGTCGTACATGTCTCCTGGGGCACAGGTACTTGAATGAGTGTTTACCTAGGAATGGGATTGCCCCGTCGTCAGGTGCATGATATTTGACGCACTGGATTCTGCAAACAGTTTCCTAAAGTGATTGGGCCGGTTTGCACTTCCACCAGTAGTGATGAGAGAAGTCTTGCTTTTCCACATCAGAAGTTGACAAATATTTTCTGTAAAGGGCCAGACAGTGAATAGTCTAGATTTTGTGAACTATACAGCCTCTGTGGCTGCTATTCAACTCTGGCCTTGCAGCATGAAAGCGGTCCTAGACAATGTATAGACAGGTGATCATGGCTGTGCTCCGATACAGCTGTGTTTGCAAAGCAGTTGGTGGACTGTGTTTGGTCCATAGGCCATGGTTTACCAATCCTTGTTCTCTGATACATCCTTTCCAACATGTGGCACTTCAGTCTTTTTAGTTTTAGCCATTTAAATTTTTATTCGCTGTTCCCTGAGGAGAAATGAGATGAGCTCCTTTTGAAACACTTCTTCCTTTGCAAAGTTCCTTGTTGAAGTTTTTGGCCCACTGGGTTGCCTGCCTTTTTCTCATTCATCTGTACTAGTTCTTTATACATTTCTGGGTGGACGTTCCTTGTTCTATGTACTACAATACTCCTCCCACTGCGTGGCTTGCCATTTCTTTCTCTTCATGATGTTTCTTCATATGCCATTAAACTCAGCCTATATTGAAGATTTCTTTCCTTATATTTTCATTGCTTTTTGTTTCTTCTAGTTTACTAAATTCTTATGATGGATGCTTACCTTTTTGATTTTTAGTCTTGTTTATTTTATAATTTATAGTCTCACTTATTTTCACTTAAGCCTAAAAATTTCCTTCAAGAACAGGATTAACTGCATGACCCAACTTTTCCTATTAGTAATTCCATTATGGTTCAGTTCTAAATATTTTCTAACTTCCGTTACTATTTTTCTTTAGCTTATGAATTATTTAGAAATATGTGTGTATGTTAAAAAATATGGGTTTAAAAATCTTTCTTTTTATCATTAATTTAGAAAACAGGTAGGTTAGAAGCTAATTGTATTGTTGTCAGTGAACTTGGGGTGTCACTTCAATTCTTCGGGACTTGTTGAGATGCTTCCCGGTCAATTTTCATGTATGTTCCATGTATGCCTTTAAAAAAATTATAAAGGATGCAATGTTCTATACGTGCCCATTGGATCAAGCTGGTTGATTGTATTCCAACCTTACTAATTTTGTTTTTTGGCTGGGGAGAGTATTGTAGATCTATCAGTTACTGAGATATGTTAGAATCTCCCACTACGATGGTGAATTTAGCAATTTCTCCTTGGGTGTTTTGTTAATACTAATTTTGTCTCCTTGAGGTAAAGTCTACAGTTAAATACATTGTTTTAGCTCCCTAATAAGGTTCATGTTTCATCAAACAACCCCTAAGATATCTCGATCTTCTTTATCTCTGGTGATGCTTCTTTTTTTCTCCCCCTTAATGTCTGTCTTGTCAGATATCATTTATTTTAGTTGTATTAGCCAGGTATATCTTTTTTCCATGCTGTTTCTTCCAGCTTTTCTGTTATTAGGTTATCTGTTTTCTGTTATTAGGTTATCTCTATTAGGTTATCTCTTTTCTGTTATTAGGTTATCTCTCTATTAGGTTTTCTGTTATCTCTTATAAATAGGAAAAGCTGTATATTTTTTTAAATTAAGACAATCTTTTTTAGCTAATGAGTTTGGTTCATTTTCATCTATCAGGTAATATTTATATTTATGAATTTATGCTATTACATCAAGTATCTTCTACTTTTCTTTTTTCTCCCTCTCTTTTTGCCTTTCAGGAGACCTGGTTGAATTTTTCTTTTCTTTCTCATTACTTTTTTTTTTTTTCTCTCCCTCTCTCTGGTTTTGGCAGTAAACACTCTTTCTAGCCTTTGGAGTTATCCTAGAAATTTAACGTGAATATTTTAACCTAATATTTGAAGTTAATACAATAATGATTTTTTTTTCTTCTGGTTCTCACTATGGTGTCTTATTTCCTTGTGTGTTTTGTGATTTTTTTTTTTTTTTTTTACTATGAGCTTCTATTCTTTAGAACTTTGTGAGGATCCTTTGAGTCCTAAATGCATCAAAAGATTTGTATTTCACTTTTCCGGGCATCTTGACGGAAATTACCAACTTGAGTAGTGGCCAATTGAAAATATTATCTTGGCTGGAGATTTTTGAGATCACCTCGTAGTGTTGATTCAGGTGGCTGCAAATCTACACAAGGGACAGCTTGTATTTGGGAATATCAGGGGAGGTATTTTCCCCTCTAGTAGATTTTGTTTCTGTCC